GGTCTGGTGACAAGAGAGGACGAGGATTGCGACATGAAAGTAATTTATGAGGTGTTTGGACGGGCGTGCGGTCTGATAACACCGCCACCGCGCTATTCAGCCCCAAGAGCTCCGACTATGTGCACATCGGCACGGCTACGCCATGGTTTGTTGAACAGGGAATCTCCGGTGCCGACGTGTATGAGCCGAGTGGCACTTATGACACTTTGCAGAAGAACCTGGGAAAGGATGCCCGAGTGGCATTGCACCAGCAAGCCGCAGTCCACGAGACATCGTCCTCGCGGTGTGGTGGTTACAAGGCCGATTTTGCTCACGGAGACCCACATAGCTGTTCGGTAGTCATCCGGGCCGGCGGTGAGACTTTCTACTTTAAGCAGGTCCACAGCCACCAGACTTTGGTGATGGCCACAAGCTTCGCTCTCTGGCCACTCGGCAAGCGGCTGAAAACGCAGCCCACGCCGGCACGATGTTCTACGGGCCGGACCTGGTTCGGCCCTGCTCGTGCAGACTTCTGCGTCAACGTGGCGGACACCCAGCAACGTCTCTTGAAAAGGCCCGCCGACACGTCCTTGACCAGCTGGCTAACTTGAAGCCTTGCCTGTCTTTCGCAGATTACCAAGGATCTTGGAAATCTTCCGCTTCCACTTGTCAGGTGCTTCGGTTGCGGCCTGCGGCAACCCGCCGAGTGCCTGCATGTGCCTGCAGTCTCGCTTGAGGAAGCTTTGAGAGTACCAAGGGTCGAAGACAGGATCTTGGAAATTGCCTTGTTGTACATCTTCGCCTTCGCGCAACAGCTGAAAGACTTGTCAGGATGCTCTGAATACTTCTACCAACACAATGGCAGCCCTCGCTTCACGCGCTGGAAGCTTACGCAGCTCTTGCTGTTGACGTCCGGTGCTGGACTATGGGTTATACGAGGAGCGTCCTGCGAGGATCTGTGCACTAGCAACAATCTTATCCACTTCGAATGCCCAGACAAGAGTTTGGAGAAAGTCAGCTGCATGGTGGCAGAAGATTGGCCGGAGCCTCCATCCTTTTCTACACCGGCGCAGGCGGAAGCCGCCGCTCCGAAGAAGTGCAGGGTTACGATTGGGTAGCGGAAGTAACAGTATGTCAAAGATGAGCACGGTCACGGTCCCCTGACAAGAGAGGGCGAGGACTGCGACATGAAGGTGATCGAAAAAGCTTTTGGATGTTACCAACATTTCGGCCGAAACGCTCCGTCGGCTGGTAGATTGCGTCTAACCAACTGTAAGATCGGACCATGGGATTTGCTCTTCAATCAACGGAAACAGCGCCCAGTCAATGTCCAATAGACGGCTAGAAAACCCGAGCAGTATGTGGCGGTATGTGGTGAACATGGATGTTAAGATAGTGGAGACGTTTGGAAGGGGAGGATCTCGGACCGCATCGGCTACTACTGCACAGTTAAAAACATGTTTCGAAGTCCGCATGCCGTGCCTAGCCATTGAGCTCTCGTGTTGGTGCTGCATGGATCTTGTCGGTATGGGATATTCTGAGTATGGCAAAATCTGCGACTCCTACCCACCTCTTCGTTTCCAGACTATGGTGGACATGTGGCGAGTACACGGTTTGCGGTGGGGAGGTGCTAGGCGCCTTGGCCATGATCGATGATGGAGAGCTGGATTGGCCACAGCCCCGGTAGCCTGGTTGGTTCTTTTTTGATTTCGGGTCTCACGGCTTTGGACGGCAACTTACGGCGCTTAGGGCTTAGGGTTTGCAGGGAAGGACATGGTACTAGCAATAAGTCCCCTGAGTGCAGTCGTCATGATTGCACCCCTTTCTGGCTCTCTTCTCTCTCTCTCTCTCTCTCTCTCACTCTCACTGTATATGCTTGCGTCTGTATGTGTACAGTGTACGATTTTTTGCTTTTCATCTTCGGTAGTTTATGTATCATACAACAATTGCTAGTAGCAGTCGTTTGTTGTGTTTTTGTTTCGACTTCGATAACCCTCAACCCTGCCCACGCTGGTCTTCCACCTGGCTCCTTGAAAGTGACCGGTGGAGCCGCAGACCCTACAACTCAGGGTCGGTGCAGCAAGGTTTGAAGTGCAGGTGCGGATTTAGGAACCTCGATGATTCATAATATACATACATACATATGTTATATGTATGTATCTCTCTCTCTCTCTCTCCCATGCCTGTCCCACGATCGCTGCATAGGTATTGTAGGAAATTCGGTAGCCGTTGTGCAACTCGTCCGATTTTTCCGTCACGTTCATCTTTATGGCCTTCGGTAAGATAACCCAAGAAAGCTTAACCCCAAAGCCCGAGCTCAAAGCCCTACCCGTCCCAGGAAGATCATCGGCATCCGCGCAGCGGGGATGCTCGGACACACTCACGACGTGCCTTTGAAGGGTGGAACTAGTCGGGCCGGGAGCTTTCCGTCCAGGGTTCCACGTGGGGGATGTTGCTTAGCAAACCGGGTGAGAACGGGCAAATCCAACATGACACATGAATGGAAACTTATTTCATTCCTCTCTTTCAGCTTCGATTTGCATCATGATAAAGATGAAACTCGGTGCCTTGTCTTACAGTGCCGGGAGCTCACTTGCGCCCGAGCCCCCAAGCTCCAAGGCGGATAGTTTGGCAGCAGAGCTGAACGACATCGCCGATGTAGAGGCGCTAGGGTTGTGGAGCCTAGCATGGCTTCATGCAGCGACCGTCAGACACGGCAGAGCGCTTCTGACATTGCGATGCAGTCACGCTTTTCGGAGGCATGCCTTCAAGCCTTCTCTAGAATGGGTACGGTACAGTAGCTATTTTCCGATAGGTAGAGGCCAGCATCGACACCGACAAAAGGATCCTTTCATGTGATTCGTGCAGCAGGCGAAATGTCCGGGGGTGATCAGCGGCATTCGCGAGTGGCTGCTGACCTCAGGTTGCATTTGCTCGTCGCGCTGTAAGTGCACGGGCTTGCTGTTGGCATCGCTCCGTGATGGATGTCGGCCGCAGGCACATGTTTCCTGGCCGAGGTTCCGCTGGTACAAGACCCCAGATGGCAAGCCCCTGAATGCCTTCGGCTATGAGGACACGACGGGGGTGGAGCTTGTGCAGAGACCGCAGGCTGTTTAACATGATGCCGGGCCTGATTCTGCGCGCGCACAGCTTGTACATCATAAAATGGAACATGACCCTTCTTCGTCTGCCATGCGTTGAACACATGCCTATATGCGTTTATTCATGCTTCATTGTCATAGTGCATGCCAATGCGCCAGCCAGGAAAAGGCGCTCGACAAGAAGTTCGCCCTTGAGGCCCCCGTCGAGCACTCGCAAACACCACCAGTTGCCGAAAGCACGGCCCAAATGTAGATCCGAAATTTGGAATCTCTGGTAATTGCTGGTAAGGGAATACTTTGCGTGGACTTCATGCTTTTGGGTTGAGGGTTTTTATGGACACAGCTCCGTGGCAGAGCACTTCCGAACCTCCTTCAGATGTCGGCTTACGAAGCAGGGTATAGGGGTTTCATGTTTTTTGATGGGTAGGATTTTCGGGTTCCATTATTTAGTCTTCTTCCTTGTGGTGACTATGTCGCTCGACCGACCCCTTGCATTGTGGGAAGTACACCTGCCCTGCTGAGCCCTTCTGTCTCGAAATCCGCGAACCTCTACCGGGGGTCGTTTGTCATTGCCGCTAGAAGCCCAGAATAGAAAGCCTGTAAAACCCGCTGACTTGTACTCTAATGTGGGTCGTGAGGTCCTGTTGATAGGAAAGTAGATGCCTCAGCCTAGAAGGGAGCTTCCCCTCAGATTCCCACTCGCCCGAAAGGTCACCGAAACCTTGGGAGGGTCGCCTTGGGGGCAGGTCATTGAGGAGACCCACGATGCATGGAAGAAGCTGAGAGAGGGAAGCACCGATAAGGGCAAGCTTTGGGTTGGCAAGTAAGAGAGTGAAGCTTTGCCCTCCAGGGCCCTCAGAAACATCCAGAAGCCGGTGACAGCCATGGTTCAGATGATCCGCTTATATAGCTTAAAGTATCAATACGAGTATAGTATAGCAAATGGGAACTGAATGTTATAAGGCAGGAAGCAAGGAAGGAAGGAAGGAAGGATATGCGCAGGTGCACGTATTGTTGTGTTTTCCCTCCGTCTAGGATTTCCAGTTTTGAGCTTTTCAGGTTCGAACAGTTACGAATATGAGGCAAGGACAGGCCTTGGGTGCAGCATGAAGGCAATGGCTTTACGGTGTGCCGTAGCATTCAGGGTGTCGGTGCAGGTTAAAACTATTTCTGGGTTAGACGTCAGGCTGCAACATGCCACGCCACCCAAAACTGCTAGTGCTCCTAGGCGATCAAAGAGAGAACGCTGCTGCCGAGGGAGGTCTGCAACAGCCTCCATCGGCCCAATCCTTCCAAGTTTTGTTTTAGCCACAGACCTGGCTGGTGGGGTGCGGGCGACGCACCCTGGCAGATTCTCCCACCCCAAGTCGCAGCAAGAGGCTTCCTGGCTCAATGTCTCAGGCTGGGAGGATCCACTAGAACACATCATAATTACGTTTCCGCAACGTTTGTGGGGCTTGGCTTGCATAATTACTTCAAGTCAATAAATCCTGAATGGGAAATCTTGGTTTTATCGCGAGATCCTTGCATCTCCATGTTAAGCATGATGAAACCCTTCCGAACACTGGAAGATCGGTCAGCGAAACCCTCTCAGAACACGTAGTCTTTTCAACCACCGCGAGTCCACTTGTTTAGCGCCATTGGGCCAGGAAGGCCCTCTTTGAAGCGGCTCGTCCGCAAGGGCGCTCCAAGCGGGACAAAAAGCACAGTCTGAAGGAGTCTTGCAGTACCTGAGAAGACTCAGGGACGCCAAGGCTCTGCGTTGGTCACACGATTCAAAGAGCTCTACAAGACGTGCGTGTGCAACCTTCGTAGCCCTCAACTTTTTATCCGTCACGTATGTTGCAGGCACTTCACAGGGCCTCCGGACCTGCAGTCAGGCTTTTAGGTTCGGCCCAAATGAGGTTGTCCGGGGAAAAATAATTACAGTGCAAGGATGCAGGACTTGTAAGGAACGGCAAGGCAGTTCTTCTGAGGTTTTCCATGAAAACCTGGTGTGCACCTGGGGCCGAGCAGGGGCATCGCAGTCGAGTCCGTGTTTGAGAGGCTTGCTGCAAGTTGCTTAAACCGACTGAACTCGCTGTCCCAGACAAAGCAGCCGGAGGGTCAAGCGGTTGCTGAACTTTTCCTGAGCAAAGCCTGCACCCAAACCCTCGAGCCCTGGCCAAGCGAAGAGTTGGCTCCAAGCCCGGGAGCCTCATTCCGGAGCACGCCAAGAACGCTTTGTACCTGACCATATACTTCAGCAAATGGTACTCTTGAACTTCCGGACTGCCAGAAGACCCCACATGTCCTCAAGATAGCCTGGAAGTGAAAACGCCTGCAGGAACCGAAGTGCTAGCCGTCCCAGAAGTGCCCACACAGATGACGCTTCGAACGGTGACCATATTTTGCCCGAAGATGCGCCATGTGCGTTGCTTGCAGACCTCCCTTGGGCGAGCTGTTCGTCTCCCTAGCTTGCAAGGGTCCTGGAGATGCTCGAACCTTTGGCAGGAAACATGGGAAGGTACGGCTCTGGGCAGCATCCGATTCAGCACCTTGGTTTCGAACCTGGCACTGGGATGTTAAGCCTGTATGCTCCGGCATCATTTTCCCTATGATTCTGCGGCTCCTTGCCTGTGTTTTTCGTTGGCTGAGGCGTTGGAAGCGTGTTCCATGCGCGGATGAGACCTGAAGAGCGGATGACGCTCCGTGCTGTCCGAGATGAGATGCGACTGAGAAAAAAGGGAATCGCGCGCTTCAACAAGCGGTGGCGATCGTGGGCCCAAAATCGAGTGCGCCAGTTTCGCCTGCCTTTGCCGGTGACACTTACTTCCGACACCGCATTGATGGACGCAAACTACATCACTGCATGTGTGCAGAAGGCGGCAGCACTTCGGAAGCACGACGTAAAGCTCTGGTTCGGCTACTCCAACAGGATTCTCGAACTTCGGGAAGAACTGCAACCAGATCAGCTGGGCTACATCATGTGGGGCTACGGCTGCCCGCTTCTTCGTGAGTCTGTTTTTCTCCTCTTGCCATCTGTGCCGAAGCGGTATTGACACTACCAGTACCTTGAACCTCAAGAGCCATGCCCCACTGAGGTAAGAGCAGCTTTCTTGATGCGAGCTTCTACAGGGAGATTCTCCCGACGATCAAAGAGCAAGTTCCTAACTTCCAATCCCACGCGCTGATGTCATTGATGCCGGGCAGCATTGGTGATATCAGGGCGGTTTACGGTCACCGGTGGCCATGCAGCACTCATAGTCTTGGAAGTTTTAGCATTTGGGGTTCGGGGCCTAGTAACTGCAATAGCGGTGGCAAGAATAAGGATAACAGTAATGGAGTTAAGAAGACTGAGAACACATCCCGCTGAAGATAGAGCACTAGCATAGTGCGACTCCTGCCAAGACTCACTGCTGTTGCGGTACTGTGGCATTAGTCGTTCTGATACTCATCATCGTCATTGTCATCGTCATTGTCATCATCATCGTCATCATCATCATCACTATCATCATCATCATCACCATCATCATCATCTTCTTCGCAGCAAGCTGGAGCCTGGAGCATTGAAAGGCTTGGATACTGTTTATGCTTTCACGGACAAGGCTGCACTACCACTACCCCCTCCCCCTCCCTCCAGTCACCGGCAAATTCTCTGATTGTTTAGCGGTCCGGGAGTCTGCGATTGAATCGATTAGCAAGGTCTTCAGCCTTGAAGCTGTGTTATCCGAGGAGTAGTATGGTCTGGGTTCGTTTGTGGAATCCGCGTGACATGTCAATGTAACTTGCAAAGCCAAGTAGACCATCCGAGGAGCGAGACTGAACTCTAACCCTGTGGATGCCCACCCACGCAAGGATGTGGTGCTTGAAACGAATCCGCTGGCACGACAGCCACTTGAACCGGGCGGCGGCGCAGCACGCCCTGGACACTTCATAGTATTGCTTTTGTTGGCTTACTAGAGAGTTAGGGCGCGGTAAAGATCTGAAACTGAAGGTACCAGAGCCGTCCGGAGCCCCCAACCACCTGATCGTTAAATCCTCACCTAAGCCGTGGTCCCATGAAAGCTGTCCCATGCCACAGTGACCGAAATCTTGAATGCCCCGAGCCCCTTACACATCAAGGTTCACCGGACTCCGTCAGTCCGTGGTTCTCCAACCCCGAAACATACACAATCTCTCGGCGGCACAAGCGTTTGCTACCTGCACCATTCCTTCCTGCTTCTCCGAAACCTTTCATCTCCCAAACCTGTCACGGCTATTGAAAACCCTCCTCCACAACACCAAGCCCGAAACTCCCGGAGCGAAAGCCCCTAAACACTCGAGAACTGAACACCTCAACCACAAATCCATCAAGGCTTAATGACTTATCTAAGCTCTGAAGACATGTGAGGTATGGTTTCTAGTATAGGAGGAGGGGTCTTGACGGCCAGGAAGGTGACAACACGACGACGTTGACACGACGGCACGGCGACGATGCGACGACGGTGCGACGACAGTGCGACGACGATGCGGTGACGGCGCGACGAGCATGCGACGATGATGCGACGACTGCGCGAAATGGACACGACGGCGACGGCGACGAAGACAACGACTTGACCACATTGCGACGACACGCCGACGATGCGAAGACGTTTTGACGACGCTTATTTCGGTCTTATGACGGATGGACGGCGGCTGCGCGACGGACACGCGACCGATGTGCGGCGGCAGCGCAGCGGAGGCACGACTGCAGTGCGACGGACGGACTACCGAAGTGCGTCCGTCGCGCGTCTGCCGAGCAACCGCCGCGCGTCTGCCGAGCATCCGCCGCTCGAGCGTCGACTGTGCGTGGCGCGCCCGCCGTCCATCCGTCATAAGGCCGAAATAAGCCTTATTTCGGCCTTATGACGGATGGACGGCAACCGCGTGTCGGACAGACGACGCCTGCGCAGCGGATGCGCGACAGACGTGTGACGGATCGTGACGGACGCACTTCGGTCGTCCGTCCATCGCGCGTCCGTCGCACTGCCGTCGCGCCTCCGCCGCGCACATCCGTCGTCTGTCCGCCGTGCAGCCGCCGTCCATCCGTCATAAGGCATATAAGGCCGAAATAAGCCTTATTTCGGCCCTATGACGGATGGACGGCGGGCGCGCGGCGGATGCGCGACAGACGCGCGACCACTTTGTCGTCGCTCCGTCGCCGCGTCGTCGTCGTGTCGTTGTCGCATCGTCGTCGTCGAGTCGCCGTCCTGTCGTCGTCCACCCGTCGTCGTGGCATTGTCAACCCGTCGCCATGGCCTTGTTCCTTTGTCGTCAGTTGCCGAAGGCAATGGCGTCAGCATTTTGCCTAGTGACTGACACATACCTTTAGAACTTAGATAGCTAATGACATGCACATCTAACCTCAGATCTTAAGTCCCTGCGAAGAGAGGTCCACAAAAAGAAAAGTCCTACTCCCTCCCTTTCAGAGGACAGTATCGAGGCCCTACGGCCGTCGGACTTTATCAAGGCGCTTGGCCTTCAGTAGAAAGGTTTGTGAGGTTTGTTGGATTGCGTTGGCCTTTGAAGATATTAGGGCTTCGGGCTCTGCCTCAGTGTACTTTGTTGGATGATTTGAGTGATTTAGAATGTCAGGGTGTTAACCTCTCCGGCAAAGACGGTCCCAAACCCTGAATCGCGTAAACCCTTAACCTCCGGCCGCGCTCACAATCGCGTCGAACTTGTCACACACACACACACGCGCACACACACACACAAACACACACACACAGACACACAGACACACAGACACACAGACACAGACACAGACACAGACACACAGACACAGACACACACACACAGACACACAGACACAGACACACAGACACAGACACACACACAGACACAGACAGACAGACAGACAGACAGACAGACAGACAGACAGACAGA